AATCTGAGCGGACGTCTCTGGTTCTATCTACTCATGGGGATCAACTGACAACTGGAAGGGTATGGCTGCTTTTTTTGACAATGACAAAACTGTGCATGAGTTGTGAATCCAAGCAGAAGCTTGCAGTGTCAGGTATAGAATGGTGGTAAAATCAATTGGATTTTGTGTTTATCGATTTCATATTGACATAGAAGGTTGGAATCGTTTGCCTTGGCACCGCATGTGCAAAATCTTCACATCAATTGATTATGTCAACGAGGCTTAGAACTGTTGACCTGATATAGATCTTGAGAGGAACTATTTTTTTTTTGAATATAAGAATGTTTCATAACGATTCTGGCCCACTAGCACAGTTGATTTTTTCATTGATTTTTTGATATGGATACTGTACATATCACGACATACCATCATGATCAAGTTGGTAATTGAGGTATTGTGTCGTTGCTCTGCAACTGTTAATTCTACTCGCAAGCACAGGCAGAACCGCAGCAACACGCCGCTCGGGAGCCGATCACTACAAGCATCCAGGTGGCCCAACCAACGGCAGAGCAATCACAAGCACAGCAGCAAAACCCCCGTAAGTGCACGTTTGACTCTCCAATTGCTATGTGGTCCTGTGCTAGTGCAATCACCTTCCTGAGTTTTTTGCCAACGTAGTTTTGAGCATGCGGATTAATTGTGCACGTTCGAATGCGTGCTTGCGGCTAGATATAGTGCGTTATCGTCCATATTACGCGATACTGATTTTCGAGACATGGGCTCTGTTTATTTCTTCGAATTATTCAGGTTGATCAAATTGTACGAAGCCTACATGGCGAGCCTGTACAGCTTGTTATGTCTCTGTTACCAAACAACTGTGTGCGTGTTCACCACATTCGTTATGGATGGCCGCCAGTAGAATTATAGTGGAAGTGGTTTGTCTTATCTAGTTTCCCATTGGAAATCTCAAATGTTAGTACTTTCAACAACATCACTCAGTTCGCACACTATTGATATATTTCCAGTTATGGTTGCTGACCCGAAGACGCTTTCAAAAGAAGAGAAAGAAAAACAGCTGCAGCTGTTATTAGAAGACGAAGCTGCGAGCAAAGATCCCAAAATCGTACTCGCGGAGGCAAATGAAAATACTCTTGAACGCTTAAAAATGGTGTGTCCTAAATTACCTGCAAAATTGGGCATACTATTGAATGAGAAAATATTCCCTTTGTGTATCGCGCGCAGTCCTCTGGTAATGTGGATGTGGATAAGACGGTACTAGAGATAATCTCGTCCATGTATATTACTTCATATTCTATTAGTCCATTTATGTACCATGGTTTTTGCCCCCGTAGCCGTCTTATTAGCTGTTCGATTGACACTAGAAATTTTAATGAACTCTTGTGCAATATAAAACGGCCGAGACAAAAATTGTCTGGATCTACTATAGGCTTGTGAATCTTTACCTATTCCAGAATTATAAATACAATTTTAACATGTACTTGCCTCTTAAACTACGACACAGTTGGTACAACTGCGGCAAATTTTGTTGTAGATGTAGAGCTCATCAACGAACTGAATGCTGGTCGGATACGCGAGATCATTGGTTTCGACTAGCCTCTGCTTCGATATCCAAGATTCAGATGGAGTGGCTATATACGAAGCCGATTTAGGGTGTCTACATTTAAGTTAACATAATCAATCGACTATCGAATTCACTACCCAACAGCTGACTTGCATGTTTGATTTTTACTGCTGTTTTGTGTGCTTTAGCTTAAAAATGGTTTTATACTAGGGCCAGCCTTCTATGTCTTGAGTATATTTACATATTTTAAAAGAAGAGTTTGTCATATTCCTAGTGTCTTGCGAATACGTAGAGCCTACTGTTTGACTATGCGTTTGAGTTTCACATGATGGACTCGCTGTAGACCTCTTAAAAGAAATAATTTAGTATCTGATATTGAGCAGTGAGCAAACAGCTAGCGCCAAACGGCACTCGACTCTAATCGTGTACGTGTGACAAGTCGTCTACATATTTATAACCTATGCAGCGAAAGTCGAAACTCGTAACTACAAAAGTCAAAAAGGGACAGCTTCTCGAATCCCGAATCTCAGAATCTGAAGCATCGGCATTTGGATTTGTTTTTGCTTTTTAGAAAGAACGAATAGATTGTACAGTACATACTGATACAGTCCATATGTACTGTACAAAAAAAATTCTTAAAAAAAAGAAGAGAAACAATCAACCCCATTTTGAGCACGTATTGGTTCATTCTATAATTTAGTGATTTGATAAGACACCATTGACCATGACTGCGACCGGGTCTTGCGACCACTATGACTGCGATACTCGCCTGCGACCGCTAAACCTGCCACTCTCACCTGCGACTCGTCTTAAGTCTGAGACTCTCACCTGCGACTCGTCTTAAATCTGAGGCTCTCGCCTGCGACCGCTAAACCTGCCGCTCTCACCTGCGACTCGTCTTTAAGTCTGAGGGCGGCTCTCGCCTGCGACCACTAAACTTGACGCTCCCACCTGCGACCCGTTTTATGTCTGAAGGTTTTAGGGTTTTAGGGATATAAACATATACGTATATCAGAGCACCCTGAGAAAAAAGAGATCAGGTGTTGATTATTCAGGGGGCTATGCATATCTACATACATGTATATATACATATACATACATATATAAATATATACGTATATACATATATCCATTTATTCGTATAAACATACATTTTAAAATATGTATATACATATATATATATATACATGCATATACATTCATATCATATGCATACATAAACTAAAACTTTGGGAGTACATATTTAGGTTTTTTAGGGTCTAGGGTTTAGGGTCTCGAGCGGAAATCAAGGTTTCTCTCTATTTATTTAAAACAACATCGTAGTCTATCCAGCAGAGGGCTGTCTAAATTTAGAACGCTAAATATGATATTTATAGATATATATTTACATACAATGAGCGGGCCATTAAATACAATGTAAATACCTTTCTTTTGTTGTTTTTTTCTATTATAAGGTCCCTCGAATTTCCCAAAGTTCGGTCCTTATTCAATCGGCCCAAAAATGACTATCACAGTTGTGGCGCCAAAAAATCCAAATTCCCAAATTCGGTAATAGTAGCTTTATTCTTAGGTTTACGATATAAGCAGTCCCTAGTCCTCTCCGTCCGTGTGTTCCTTATGTTTTTAGTGAACAAAAAAATATTGTTTTGAATTGCCTTTTACAAATAAGTGTCAATTTAAAGGCTATGAAATAAGAAAATCAAAATGTCCTAGTTTTTCATTTTGGCTTTGGCCTTTAGCTCTACATATTTATGTATTTTTAAAAATAAAATAATTTGTATTTATGGTTTCAAGATTTCTCTACTAGTATTTACTGTATGTATCATTATTAAAACAAAATTGCCTCCTAAGTCCTAATGAGCAGTTGAGCACTGAGCACTGAGCACAACAGCGGCAGTCAACAACAATACAATTTACAATATCCAACGATGAACACTAGTCAACAAGCAACTTTGAACTTTTGGACTTTCTCTATACGACACCCGTCACTATAGAAATTATTAACGCCCGAGCACTAGTTGTCCTATGTATATGAACCGAGATAAATTTTAATTTTTTTGCTTTTATGTTCTAAATAAAAAACAAAATTACGGTTAATGAAATCATAGAACAGGACAAAATCCCTTGGACCTGAAATTTACAACAGAACGGGATAAAACCAAATTCAACATTGTGCAATTGTGCAAACCAAACGATCATATTTTACATAGTCTGAGCCTCTGAAAGGCGTTTAATTATATTCCAGGTTATAGGTGTAGATTATGTACCGTATCGGTAAAGATATTTTTTTGCGTAGTGTACACGCTTAATATTTCGGTACTTGGGCCAAAGTCGCCTTACGAGGGCCCATAAATATCGACCCTACCTTTGCGAATGGACCGAATGCGGTTTTGGACACAGGCTCGGGGGATAGTAATTTTATAGTGACGGGTGTCGTATAGACAAAGTCCTCAAGTTGTAACTCTCGAGTCTCGACTCTCACTGAACTGAGAACTCTCTCTGTCTCACACACTGACACACAGTCTCAGAGTGACAGAGAGTCTCAGATCCTCAGCTTGTCAGAGTCTCGGACTTTCAGAGCTCGGATTCTCAGACGGAGTCTCAGTCTCTATGCGAGTCTAAGCTCTACTCAGAGTCTGAGAAACAGTTACTTACAGACTCACAGTTATTCGCTCTCAGTCACTCACGCAGTACTCAGGAGTCTGGAGTCTCATTCTACTCAGGAGTCCTGAATCTCATTCTCTCTAGGCCTTTCAGGAGTCAGGACGTTGGACACTTGGACAGACACTAATCTCTTGCAAACTAAATACTCACAACAATCTAAAGTCCCAAGAAAAGTTATGTAGAAGACCAAAGCCCAACAGCAACTGGCCAACAGCGTCTCAGCCCAGCCCCAAGGACTCTGTCGTTCAGTACATACAATTCATACCGTTTTTCGTTAAAACTTTTATAAATTGAATAAATATGCGTTTACGATCAACTTTTTTTTTCCATATGCGGTCCTTTGTATGTTCAGAGGTGCACCTTGCGGGTATAAACATGTAGGTATGTACCGATTTCATCATAAGAACTAGTCCTATAAAGAACTTAGGTAGGACCTCCAGATCACACAATAGCCGTTATAACGTTTTAAAAGTGAATAAATATGCGTTTACGTTCAACTTCTATACCATACCCCCGAAACGTAATGAGCTTAGAGTCCTACATATTTGTTTTTGTTTTAATTTAAAAAAAACTGCAATAAATCTAATAAATAAAGTAATAAACGGTTTTGCTGCAGCTCCACTGGAGCGACATTCCAAAAAAAAAAATTGGATGTTGTAACTTGTATGTACATACATATGTGGTCTGTCGCAGACTTGTGTGTACTGTGTAGTGTGTGTGTGGACTGTGGAGGGTCGTTTGATTTTGAATTTCAAAAAATAAACCCCTGTTCAAGATTATATTCTTATTTTAAATACTTTGTACACGTCTCGCACACAACACATACACGCTCTCTCTCTCTCTCTC